AACTTAAGAAGAAAAAGAGAGAGAAATAACAAGAAAGATAAACCAAAGAAGGTAAAATAATTTAAACACGGGGGTAGCATTTTGTAAGATGACTTTAAAATTGGGTTTTGAGTCATATTTTCTTTCAAAAAACTGAGGTGAGCACAAGGGGATCTTTTATCTTGCATTTGCTTCTTACTAACAGACAGTTGATTGTTACAGTGATGGGAACTTTGGATTCACGAGACTATGCTTTGTTAGAGTTATACAGGTGAAACTCGAAAAATTAGAATATCATGCAAAAATATGATTTCCATATTTAATCTGACTTCATAGAATGGCATAACGTCCAGGGGAAGTGGCTGTAGTGCATATTAGCATCAGTGGTCAGAGGAAATGTGTTGAAACTTATTAAAAGTGAATTTAAATGACCACATAAAAAGTTAAAATCCAAGATTTCCAAGGTAGCTTTGAACATGAATATCTCCTGTTCCCAACTCAGCCAGGGGAACTGACATGTGTCAGACATGAGAAACTTCACTTAAAGTGAAAAACAATCAAACAACTTAGACTTAGTATCTAAAAGGTGTCAGAGAAAACCAGTGGGAAAATGAATGGAAGAGTACCAATTCAAAATTAATTATCCTTTAGAGATGAGACTGAAAATGTCATCAAAAGCAGCTGAAAAAACACCCAAGCAAGATTTTATGCTCCTTTTTGGTAGGAAAGAAATGTTGGGTAAAAGCCATCCAGAGTTATTTTACAGGGGAGATGGGCGGTATTACATTTTATTAGTAAATGTATATATTAAATGAATATAACAAATAAAATAAAATAATAAAAAATGCTACTCATTCTCCAAATGCAACCTGTAGTTGGCTATAATTTCTTTCTTTTAAAGCTTTTAAATGTGTATCGAGATTAAGCTTTATGTTATCCTCACAACAACAACAAAAGGGGGTTTGAGAAAAAGTTATGGCGGAATCATTTTGACTAAATGAAGGTTTGAATTTGGTTTCCCCAGCCATACTATTACAATGGCTTAGTGTTCAAGCTATTCAGGACAAGGCTAGAAGTTAGGTGAATTAGAGAAGTGCACGAAAGAAAGATAATTGGTAAGAAGTTGAATGTACTCTTTTGTTCCCCTACTCTAAAGTGAAGTTCAAGATCTACATCCAACTTTCAAGAAGATAATCCAAAGAATAAAGAGGCACAAACTAATATATTCCTGTTGGAGAATCATTAGAAAATTTCGATATGAAACTGCTGATTTTTTTTACTTTTACATTGGTCGCTCTAATACAGAGTCCTTGACTTACAATCACAGCTGGAAGCAGAATTTCAATCGCCGAGTCACGTGGTCATTAAATAAGATGTCCCTATGACCACGGCACTCAACG